TTAGTCACTGTGTATCAAATAGAAATTCTATAAATTCTCAATATTCAAAAAAATTCTATAAATACTCAATATTTTTTTGTCACCGGTATCAAATAGTAATTCTATTTAATTGAATGTTAAGAATTCGAAGTTGTCAAACAATGCAAAAATTTTAAAAAAAAATTCAACCATCCAAACCGCTAAAACTTTTGGATTATTTACAATCTAGATATTTAGACTCCGAATCTCCAAATGGGCCCTAAGATAGGGTAGATCTAGGGTGAGATCAAAATATTTTTTATTTTTCCAAACATTTTAATTCATTTTATTTTATTTGTTTTGGAAACTCAACATTTTCACAAATTGAATTAGGTCGTTGCGATTTATAAAATTATATCCATTTTCAATATATTTTGAAAAAAAAATATTTCGTACCGCCCATATCACATAGTACCATCTACTCTGTGCCACATTTGTTTTCACTCAAATTTAGAAAAATATTTTAAAGAAAAAACGAGTTAATCGTGATCTATTGGATTAAAAAAATTGAGATAAAGTTTCAAAACCAAATATATCACGCCGATATGGGGTGGTAAATGGTTGTGAAAGGTGGTAAATGACAATTGGTATATTCTTGCTATCATATATACAACCATTCTACACTGTGGTTGATTCGTACCACAGTGGTATAATATTATGTATTACCAAACATTATATCATGGTGTCGACTAGCATGAGCTGCACGTAAAAAAAAATATTTTAAAACGAAAGAGAAAAAAGTTGAAATTAATTGCGACAAAAGTTAGGTGCCTTATGTAAATGGTAAGTGTGTGGTTACTCTTGTGACTAATGAAAGTAACTGCAGTATAATGACACAAGTAATAAAATATCGGATCTATGTGTCTCTATATTCACTATTACTCTGCTTCACTTTACTATCTAGCAATCAGATTGAGATTTAAAGAACTAAACTACTCTACAAACTAAACTAGGTTAGATTATTAATTACATGTTGGAAACTAACTTAGGTATGATTCCCCCTAGACACTACCCAAATCAATGATCTTTAACTTGATTCACTATTCATTCCCGATGTGAAGAGTCCTAACTATACCGTGAATCTCGATTGAAGCAATCAAGGCCATATTGAGTCAATTGCCTAGACAGATATAGCCTTATATAAAACAACCGATCAAATCGTTCTACACTAGACTCCCTCTATTGGGCAAGCTCACTCGATACATAGCAAAGAATCGACTCACTCCCTTGTTATCAATCGCATAAGTTCAACTTACGGTGCTTTGTTGATATACTTAGATATTCCCTCGCATATAATCAAAGCAGAATCAATAGTCTCGACTCGACTAAAGTTGAATTGAACATCAAAACATGCATAGATTGAATATGAACTCATGTGTAGGGATGACTATGGATCAGGTTTTGCCAAACCCAAACCCATCGGTTTATCCTTGAAAAAAACCCGGGGTAAAACCCACTAGGTTTGGAAAACTCAAACCAACCCCCTGGGTATCCGCGGGTTCATGGGTAACCATGGGTTTGTGTCGTAAAAAATTTACAATAACAAGTTCCTTTCAAAATAAAAGTCAAATATCAATCTCTCAATAAAAATTATCCATATATAAAACACAATTCTAGAAAATTCAAGCAAATGACATTTTAACCATACAAATTGTTCAGCACCAATCTAGAAAATTCAAGCATATCACAAATATCCATTAACAATATGATTAATTGAAAACTTCTTCCACCTTGTCAACTAAGGGCTCGTTTGCTTCATGGATTTGATAAATTAAGGTTTTTGTCAAAACTTGAATTTTATAAAACCAAGGATAAATGATGGAATTGATCAATTTGGTTTTTGGATAAAACCATTGTTTGCTTGCTGGATTTCACGATGGATTTTGCATAATTATATTTGTGGTTATATTATGAATTTACCTATCTATCCTTACTATCTCTTATTTATTGTTAGAAACAAAACAAAATGAGAATAAAATAGTAAATAACCATCATGGGCTAGAGACACCCAACATCATGAATTTTGTACACAATCCGTCATTTGCTTGATGGATTTAGGAGGAATAAATCTGTGGGGCCCACGGACTTTGAGGGTCCAAATCCGTGGATCCCACAGACTTGAGAATTTCACACCAAGAGGTGGAATTTGTGTTGGGGTACAAAGTCCATGATGACTTTTTACAATTTTAACTCTACTTATTTCACTAATCAACAACTCATCATCTTTCATTTACTAATTGCCAACTTGAAGTGCATATTAATTTTGCAGTCAACATTTATTATTATTCATTGCACGAAAGCACTACATGATTAATCGCAAAGCATACTTTGTAATATCGAAAACCTTAAGGAATTGTCTAATTGTGCGTATAATATGATGTTGTTATTGATTAATGATGTTCATTTATTCCGATTATGGTAGTGGGACGAACCCATTGGATGAAACTTGTTTTAAACAAAAATTATAATGTAAATATAAATAATACTCAATAAGGGCACAAAGGTAAATTCCTAATGCAAGCACAAATATAATAATGCCAAATCCATCCTGAAATCCAACAAGCAAACGATGGTTTGTACCAAAAACCAAATGGGGCAATTCCGTCATATATTCATGGTTTCATAAAACCCAGGTTTTAATCAAAACCTTCATTTTTCAAATCCATGAAGCAAACGAGCCCTAAGCTTCTTCACTCTCCACTCGATAATATCAACTTCATTATACACAATTAGAAAGAAAAATTAGACATGTCTCCACAAACATAAAGAAGATTAGTTGTTTATAATATTAAATATATCGGGAAAATTAATTATATGGTGTGGGCGGGTATACCTAAACCCAAACGCAACCCAACTCCGTGAATAGTGAACGAGTTTAAACCTGAATCCGGCACAAAACCCATCAACACGAGTTTTATCCAGCATTGACCGGGTTGGTTCGGTTAAGGTACCTGTGAGTTCGGATTTTGTTGTCATCCCTACTCATGTGTAGCAAGAAAGATTACTCATACAACCATTTACGAACGAAACAAACATTGGTAGGATTCCTCAAAACCTAAATGAATGGAAGTTACTCCGTAAAGAGAAGAGATAATGCATAGTTACGACCCAGGTCTTCAATCTCCATCACCAAGCTTGTTATTTGAGTACCAATTGTGAAGAAATCCTCCAATTTCACTCTAATAATGTCCCCAAGTCTCTCTCTCTCGGGTTCGTCCCTTGGGTGTTTGGGGTCTAGAACCCAACTCCTCTTTCGAATATGGGAGAGCTAAGATTGGAAACTAACGATGAAGAAACCAGTTATTTGCAAATGAAAATTTTGACACTAAATAACCCAATTAAGTTGTTTGTTACCAAATGACTCATAGAAACGACACATTAAAAGTGTTTGTCTAACTTATATATATTTCTCACCCAATCCTACATCTATATGGTAGGGTAGGGCAATTTTTATTTTGTTTTGTGATATGTTCATTCTAATTTGTTTAACTAGCTTGAGATTATAGGGTGAACATTTTTTTTTTATCAAAATATCGTTTAGGCCATAAATAGTGTGTTTGAGCTTGGACCCTAATTTATATTATCTCGAAAACTCTTAATTTGTAGATGTATACTTTTACAAAGAGAAGAGTGTTTCGATAAAAATACAAATAGAAGTCTGAATAGCAGCTCCTTCTATATAAAAACCAAACAGGTTACTCGATGCACTAATCTCACTTTTGTTAAGAACTCATTTGAGACCATACCTAAAAGCTATTTATGAAGCAGTGCATGTGATGCAAAAATGTAAACCATGAAAATGAGTTCGAGTCTCATTATTATGAGACCCAGTAGTTTGTTCATTATTTGCACTTTGCAGTGTCTACCCATTAGGAAAAGAATCTCAATTTCACCATCTGTCTTTGGCAAAAAAGAAAGAAAAAAAAGAAGAAGAAGAAAAAAAGAATATAGCACCATCTGTTGTGGGAACTTGGAAGACAGCAAGGACTGTCACGAGTCATAATGAAAACCGGGCTTGGACTGTATTAAAGGGAAGCCCATGATAGAACTCACTTGTTGATGGTAAGATTGGCAGGCCCACCAATTTGGAGGGTCGGTTCTTCTAGAATCACCCCACCAATTTTAGTTCAATTGTTTTTCTGAGGCTTGATCTCTGTATATCTCTTGCTGAAATATGACATTGAAACTAAGCTGCTGCCTGCAATAGCAGTGTCTGCAATTCCACAGTTATTACTATCCAGTCTGTAGTGCTTTGTTTCAGCTTACCGATGTATGATTCTCAAAACCCAGTTCTCTTCATCATGATCTGGAAAAATTACACTATCATCCACTTCTTCATTCCTTAATGCTCGCCACTACCGAAAGGCAGAAACTTTGGCTGATGGGGAGATGAGATGTATTATATAAAAAATGAAGAGCACCATTCAAAGTTCTCTTTGGCTTGTGAAGTAGTCAAAATCTCTAATAGTTCTCTGACTGGAAGCAAATTCAATCACATTTCAGTACTCAGTTGCTGTATGGCTGAGTTCTCATGGAGAATCAGTTAAGTTAATCTCCTTCATATGATTTCAGCAAAATTCCTACTTGTATGATTGCTGCTAAATAGCTGTAAGTGAATCTATTGCTTTGGATGACTTAGAGGAGTGCCTTAGAGTTTCTCTTTCCCGACGACGACTTGGAGATCTCCGATCGGCAACCCCGAGACCACTCCCTCTCTTTCTCTTTTCCTCCCTCCCTCCTGAATCCCCTCCTCACGTCTTTCAAATGGGAGAATGGTGAGATAGATGACTTTGAGATCTCCACTTGAAAATTACTCGTTTTGCCTTTGATTGGTAAACAAATCATTTGCCACCAAATGAGTTATGCCAACCCCCCCTTTGAAAGCATTCATTGGTAAGTTTGCTAGCTATTTAAGATACAATGTGATATGTTTATTCTATTTCATAATTACCTATATATAGGGGTGATAGTCGGTTCGGTTACGGTTTAACCAAACCGACGGGTCGGTTACCCGACACCAATAAAGAGCCAAATCCCCCCACCGACACTGACGCCGATATGATTTTCAGTTATCCGACACCGACACCGACAAAATACAATCGGTTGATCGGTTTCCCAAAACTGAGTGCATCCACCCTCTCGAGTCTTCTCTGCTCATCCTTCTCTCTCCATTCTGCGCCTCCAGGCTCCACCCAATACTTCTCCTCACCTGCGATGAACATGCACGGAGCAGAAGTTGGACCTGTCCGGATTTCTGAATCCGACTGCCGAATCTTGCCGCCGAATCGCGTTGTGGATGGCGGAGAAGGATCTGCTTCTGCCAATTCGCCAAGGAGAAACGGAGGAACACAGGAGGTAGAGGAAGAAGAACTGAGGGATGGATCTGCTTCCACTGTTCTGGATCGTGCTTCGACAAGAAAGGAGAGGGAGAAATCGCCGGTCAAAGTTCTCGTTCGTCGCCACCACGACCCTCGCCGTCAAATCTTTCCGCCAAATCTCACCATTAGGAGGGATAGAGGAACACAAGAGTATGAGGAAAAAGGGAATCACACCGAGGAAGGTGAGATTGAAGGGATTTGGAGAGTGACGAGTGAAGAAGGAGAGGTTTGGAGTTCAGGGAGAGGTAATGAGGGGTGATGATGAGAGCAGAGAGGGAGAGTCTCTAGAGGTTTGCGGTTTTGGCGGTGCACCGAGATTATATCGGGGTTGCAACCGTCGGTTGCCGGTTAGCAAAAATCCCCCAAACAGCCAACCGAAGCCGACACCGAATCAATATTTTCGGTTATCGGTTCGGTGAATAACCGCGATTTTCGGTTCGGGCTTCAGTTTAACCGAAAATCACCAACCGATTAACACCCCTACCTATATATAGAGTATAATGTGAACAATTTTTTATTTTGTAATTAAAATATAGGTTTACCCCATATACAGTGTGTTTGAACTTTACTTTAACCTCCATCGTTGTTATCTCGAAAGCTATGACGTTTGCTTTTACAAATAGAAGAGTGTTATTAATAAACGTCTTGATAACAACTGCTTATAGAAAAAACTAAAACATGACACTCAACGAACTAATCTCATTTTTGTTAAGACTAAGAAGCACTACATGGTCATGGGATGCAATTTGCAAATGCAAGGTTGTCAGCCAGCAGGTTGACTCGGATTCGGTCAACCTAGTGGGTCAAGGGTGTTTTAGTCCGGGAATATGGAAATAGTCATTATATTGTACTTATTCTAATAAATTATATCAATTATCATCTAACATATGAGTAATAACATATAACATTACACCAAAGTAACATGTCGTACTTAGATTCAACATAAAATAAAAGTTCACACACACTTATATAACATCAATATTCAAATATTCAACTAATGATTCCAAAGATTGAGTTAGGAGAAAAGAAAAATTGGAAAATAGGCGCATTTCGCAAACCAAAGAAAAAAATGACACAATTTGACCTCCAACCCGATACCTCGTAGCAGTCGACCCAACAGGTGGGTGCAACCCGTTTTTCTTACCAGGTCAGGGTTAAAATGGGTTGACCCGCGGGTTGACAACCTTGTGCAAATGTAAACCATCAAGGATGAGCCGGATTCTCATTATCTAATGATGATTATTGTTTTTCCATATTCCACAATAATAATTTGTTCAATATTTGCAACGTCTACACATGACATTAGGCCATTAGCAAAAGAAACTCAACTTCACCTTTGAATATACTACATTCCAAGAAAAAATAAAAAAAAGTCATGATGAAAACTGAAAATGAATTTCAATAGACAAAAAAAAAAAAACTGAAAACTAATGGGCTTGGAGCAAGGTTGTTAAACCCCTATCGAACCTTCGGTTGACCCGGTTCAACCCGAGTCGGGCTTCAAAACGGCCTCCAGAAAACCCCCCGGTCTGACCCCTAAATAGGGAGAAGAAGAGAGGCAGAAGAGAGGAAAAGGAACGAAGGAAGGGAAATGGTAGGTGGATCATGGAGGTTAGGTAGATTTATTTTGTTGAAAATAAGTTTTTAATAGATATATGTAAGATAAATTTTATTTCACTCAGAAAATTTTTAATTACTACTTTATTTGTATATATATTTAGAAAACGTCTAAAACGGCTCAAACCGGCCGGACCCCGATCAGACCATTAAACCTCAAACCCCTTGCTTGACCGGCTCAATGACTTAAACCGGTTTGACAACCTTGGCTTGGAGTGATTCAAGTTTCAAGGGGACCCTATGGTAGAAGTTTGGGCGCAAAATGGTATGTGGTAGTAAGGTTGGCGGGCCCAAGCTGAAGTGAAAACCCATTTATAAGCTGGGCAATTTATAACACGATGAAGCGAAGCCCACAGACAACAAGCTCTATCTCAGTAGTAAAGCACTTCTACCACATCGCCAAATCATGCACGAGACGATCACCAGCTCTGGTTTAAAAGGCAAGCAATCCCTTCCATTCGAAAGCACGCAGCCTTGCAGTGAGCACATAGCGAACTATTCTTTCGCCTTTTACTAAAGAATACCGTGTGCGCGCTGCTTAACAGAGGCATACGTCTATTTTTGGAGGGTCGTTTCTACTAGAATCACCCCACCAATTTTAGTTCAATACTTGTAGTTTGCTATCTGCGAGGCTACAGATAGCTGTAGACTCCTTATTGTCAAAGGAATTCTATCAAGTAATATCAATTCCATTGCTTGATTTTGCGTGTTTGTACGCTGGTAAAATAAGCAGCTCAGTACAACAAGTTCAAAATTAACTGACAGTATGAAATCTATTGGTGAGTGGTGTCTGCTATGGCCAGAGAGAAACCAGTTAATTTATCAGCTAAGCAAGCCACTCGTCGGAGTAGTATTGTTAGGTCGATGTTGGATTGGCTTGTGGCTCATGGGAAATCAAGAAGTTCCTCAATTGATTGCTGGTTGGATGATGCGGCGATCGTTTTCTGTCGGAAGCTGCTATAGATTGTCGCTAGAGCGTTGCTGATGCCTTCTTGATGGCTTTGCGGAACTGTGGAGTGTTTGTTTGAGGTCCAGTGGTGCTGTTGTGCTCTTTGGCGTAGCTTTTGTTTTGTACTGCTTGATGCTGGCTCTGTTTCTGCAAACTCGTTTCCATCCGAACTTTTTCAACCCTTGTGAAGTTCCCTATGAGGCCGTGATGAAAGCATGGAATGTTACTATGCAGTGGAGATAAAAATGGAACAAGGTTTCTGCGAACAGGCTCCCATGCTAACTTCGGCAAGTGCATCAGCTTTGGGTTCCTGTTTTGCAACATCGGGTGACAAGCAATAACAGTTGTAATCAGCAAGGAGTTCAGATCTCTGTAAATCTGGCAGTGCTACAAATACAATCCTACAGCAGTTGTTCTTCACTATCACTGCCATTCGTTTTAGTGTTCCAGTGTTAATGAAAGCATACATGGGGGAAATACAGCCGAAAATAGACAGATGCGGGAGCCTACTAGTGTAACTGTGCAAGTAGAACTCTAGCGCTCAGAGGCTTTTGGATCTCACGAGCTACCAGAAAGGTGAAGCTAAGCTTAGTTCAGACTCCAGAGATGTCTAGCAGCTTTTCACTTTGACGAGTCCTTGTATCAATGACTGGTACTTGAGGCAAACGAATGATGAGAGAAACTCATTTCTGTGCTTTTCGAGCGAGAAACCGTTGACGAGCAGCCAGGACTCTGCTCTCATGGTCGTCGGGAATCCTAGCAGCAACATGTTCTTTTTTCGTCAAGGATTTTCCTTCTCCATTTCTTACATCACGATGAAGTCCTCCACTGCGCAGGGAATAACAGAACAAACTTAGACAAATGCGTATCACAGAAGCTTTAGTCTATATGTATCCATTCAAACTATTATGGTAAGCCTACCTGAGTTTGCTGACATCCAAGTTCTCAAGCTTCTTGAAAATGGGAGAGACCCATCTCATCTCCACAGTACAGAGATTCCGCATGTATGGACGAGAAGTGGTGATAAGCTCATGATAGACAACATAGTTTGGGAACATTCCGTCATCGTCAGCTTTTAGCACTGAAGAAGGGTGCACCTGAAACCGTGAATGAATTTGTTATCCCAGATCAAAGACCAACCATTTGACTGCATGCTGATTTAGCTATAGTTTAGACCTCAAGTTGTTTTTTGTGAATTATGCATGCACTCTACAGGATACACAGAACAACCATTCTCACTCTGACAAACAAACACGAGGGAACTTCAAGCTCAAGTTCAGGCAAAAAATCAATAGACTACCAAATACCAGCCTAAAAGCCTAAGAGCTCATATAAAAAGAAATGGACAGGCTTCCGTACCTGAATTAGTTGAGGCTTGAACCCTATAGTTCTGTAACCATTGTGCTGAATCATTCTCTCAGCAAGCCTATTTGCGTAGCCTACACACAAGGCCTTCCTTAAATTCCTATAATCATGTTCGCTTTCACGGTATCTTCGATTGGCTCGTACATCGGTTGAACCTGCACAGACATAAAGTGAGCTAAAAAAGCTAGTTCCAATCCCTACTTGATGAAACATGGTGAGTGCGTGCGTTTACTTTTCGTAATAATTTATTTTTCTTCCAAAGTTTTTAAGTAGCTTTTGTTCTCAGCTGAAACGGACACATCTGAAAGCTTTAATAGCTGAGAACAGGTAATAGATATCGCACTCAAGCTCAGGACAGAAATTCAAGTAACTCGCTAGTTGCTGCATAAACGACAACAAACACGTTACATCATGCTGCCTTGTGAATCGGAGATCTAAATAATGAAATCAGCTCACAACATCAAACATATTCACAGTAGACAGACAAGTACTCACCCTTGGCAATTTTCTGCATAATCTGACATAATTGTTTCCGGACGTCTTTAACAAACACCATTCCTCGCTCCTACAGATAGTCCAGGCAAGTGAAGAATTAGTACATTAATGTTAAGACTTCAGAAAGGGATTATATGGTTTCAAAAGAAGATACAAAGTTCTCAGGAATCAACATTTGTTATGCCTTTCAGCACAAGAAGCTACAATAATGCCTATGCTTTGTTATAGCAGAAGTTCTCATCCAAGACCGGGTCTAATTTTTGGACTCCTGATATTTCTACAATGCAATGGATTGATACCTGCAAGCCAGTATCTCTGCACCACCTAATGTCATACCCATTCTGATCCCATTGCTCATAGATCTGTAGCATCTGGATGTGATCACCATAACCAGATCCAGTAGGGAGTTCTACAGGTTCTTGTTTCCTCTTCTTTTCATTGTTCTTGCTACTGCATGCAAACAAATTAGTCATCAGTAAATTAAACAGGTGTTCTGAATCGAAAGGTGTTAAGGTATTTTGTAGATGCCAATGTTGTTCGTGCTAAGAAAACTTGCTCAAGACAGCATGAGCGAGAAAGCAACATCCAAATCCATTAAAAGTGAAAGAGAACCAAAGAGTCAACTTTTAGTGTGCCTCTGCCTAAAATGGTGAAAAGAATAGTTATCAACTCAGAAGAAAGAGCCCTCAGATCTATTCAGTACACGAACTAACCTTCGATTAGGAAGCAATGAAGTTTCTGCAGATAACATAGCAGCAACAGTCAAAGCTTGGGATAAGCAACCGTTCTCATTTGCTTCTAATAATGTTCTGGAAAGTGAGGGTTCTAGTGGCAGTTCTGCACAAAATCACCGGGTATGAGCTTCTGCTTCATAGAGTATAACATCCTTTTAACTCCCAGGAGGGGGAACAAAAGAGTAAGAACACCACATTCAACCCACTCTCATCCTTCAGAGATCCCAAAACAGAAGAACCCTCAAAATAAAGCATCATCATCTAACATAAAGGATGAAGTTTTTATACCAGCCATTGTCCGTCCAATACTTGTGATTGCTCCATTTTCATCAATTGCATCAATTAGATACAGTTGTTTTAAAGCATCTTCTAGCGACTCAGCTGCAGTAATAGGTACAGATATTTAGTTGCATCACTGTTCTCTAACTCTTATGGCACAATTGCAGCTAATGAGATAAAGTTTGTTCCATTAACAGGTAAGGGAAAGCAAGGGAACTAAGAGCTGAAAGTGAATGATTACCAGAAGGCGGGTCCAGGAAATCAAACTTAAGAATATCAATGTCAGGGAGATCCAAGGACTTCAAGTAAAGGACGGTGCCAGCAAGTGAAGTTCGCTGTATCTCTGGGACAGTCACATCGAGCAATTCATCTTGATACATTAAGGAAGGGTATAACCTATAGCACTTTCCAGGGCGCGTCCTCCCTGCTCGCCCTGCACGCTGATTTGCTTGCACTCTGCCACAAAAGAAACTCAAAATTTTACATGTGGTTTGCAACTGAAAATCAATTTATGCACAGTTACTTCATAGAAGAAGATAAGTGCCGTCAACCTAGTGAGAAGAAAACAGAACATAGTAAACATGGTAGGATGGCCTTCAAATAGTCAGATTCACGTGCAGTATTAAGAGACTCAATTTTCAATCGACTCCTAACATAAGAGTATTAAGTACGAGTAGTCTGGTCTAAAGACTCATCACAGCCACGACCTATGTCTATATCAATCATCTGCCTCTTATTCTGTTCCGTTACTATTTTCTTTCTAGAAAACAAATAGCATAATCATGGAAAAAGAAGATGAAGGTTACAAGAACTTTTCCCCCCAGATTTTGACCTATCAAAATTGATCCTCATCGAAGCCTGCTTACAAAATAAAGGATTGCATAAACCAGACCAATTTTTCATGCAGTGTCAGGAATGAAGTACTCGGGAAGGAATAGACATTTGCTTCAGCAGTTAAGTACTCACTTGCTGATCTGAACAACATCAAGAGAATACATGCCAGTTGATGGATTGTATTGCCTTTGCTTTACATAACCCGAATCAACAACATACCTGCGATTATCAATAATTTAAAACAGAAAATCATATTACAAGGATATAGAGGAGTGAAGGAAACAGAGGGTAAGAACAAGAACAAAAGAGGTACTTTATGATCTCCTTACACAACTCCATCAACAGTCAAAGAAGTTTCAGCAATGTTCGTGGCAACAATAAATCGCCTACAATTTGGAGGAGCAGGACTAAACACTTTCACCTGTATATAGAAAATATGAATCTCCAAGTCAAAGACAGAATAAAAAGCTAACTGGCTTCACAGGAGAAGGGAAAAGGAAATAAAGAAAACCCTGCCTGCATTTCAGGTGGCAAAGAACCATGAAGAGGGAGGATAATTGCATCCATGCAGGAACCTTCCTCTAGGCCTCGAATCTTATTCTCCAATTTCGAGACCAGCTTCTCAATATCATCCTGCATAAGGTTGAATCAGACTTTTCCAATCAATACATTGCAGTCCACTTCATACTATTTAAGAGGGCAGAACTCGTTCAACGTCACCTGTCCGGTCATGAATATCAGCACATCACCTTCAGGTTCATTACGATGTATATCTGCAGACAGAAAGCGCATAATGTAACCTTATGAACATGACTTGTTGAATGAAGACTTCAGCAAAAAGACTACCTTTCCTCTATAGAACTAGTAAATTAGTATATGGAATTCCAGATTTTATTTCCACACGAATGATTCACGTTGCTTCAATTCATTTCAGGTAATGCATGTGTACAAAGAGAACATCATGAGCAAAACAGCTAAAGAGAAAGTCTGATTATCATACCTAGAGCTGTTTTCAGGCAAGATTCCGTATAACTTATAGGACGTTCCCTACTGTATACTACTTCCACAGGGTATAGCTTTCCAGGGACGTTCAGAATCGGGGACTCAGAAAAGAATTCAGATACTTTCTCCCCATCCAGAGTTGCAGATGTGATCAGAACTTTCAAATTGGAGGCACGCAGTTTAGTCAATCGCTTCACCAGACCCAATAGAATGTCTCTGAGAAGAGAAGTGTATAAACCAAAATAATGAATCCATACAACTCCATAAGTTTGTAACCTTAACATTAGTCGCATTGCATCACCATATTAGTAAATTGCAGCACTTACGTGTTCAAGCTCCTCTCATGGGCTTCATCCAATATAATGACCGAATAATGGCTAAGCTCAGGGTCAGATAAACTTTCTCGGAGAAGGACTCCATCAGTGAGGTATCTGAACAGTTACACAAAAGCTCTGAAGTAAGAAACCAATCACAGGCAGAAACATGAGAATTCGAACAACCATCAAACCAATTACAGCCTCCCTTACTTGATTCGCGTTAAATCTGAAGTCCTATCTTCAAACCGAATCGCGTAACCTACTTCCTCCCCAAGCTTAACGCCGAGCTCCTGAGCGACTCGTCTGTTTTTAAGCAAAAACAGTCAAAATACTGAATTCTAAAGGTTTAACATAGCGTTTTTCGGCTATGAAGTTCACAAAATTGAATCCCTAACCTGGCAACGGAGACAGCAGCAACTCGACGAGGCTGAGTGACGCCGATTATTCCTCGCTTGGAGTAGCCATGGCGGTGCAGCATCTGCGAGAGTTGTGTGCTTTTACCGGAACCTGTCTCTCCGATGACGACCACCACCGAATTGTCTTCCACCGTTCTAATGATCTGCTCCTCGAATTGAACAATCGGAAGATGCGCCATGGATGAATCAGTCAAGCAAAGCTACGGGTTCTTCTGCGAGTTAGGAATTGGAGTGAAGAAGGAAGAAATTGACTTCGAAGAGTGAAGTGAGCGCGGGAGTTTGGGGTTTGGAGAAAGGTTTCAAAACGTTCAGATTGCCAAACGTTTTCTCGTTCTCCGGGTTTCTCCTCTGCGTCCGTTTTCTGGTTTCCCTCCGGGAAGTCTCCGGTTAAGCGGAACTGAAGCCGAACCGCCCTTTCTCGAGCAGGCCTGCAATGGCTGGACATTCGAGCTTTAACAACTAAAAGCCTCGTTTGAATCCGAGTCCATAAAAAATATGAAGAGCCCATTGCGAAATCAGCTTGTTTGTAAGGAGGCTGTGGTGGGTCTAGTGAATTCCCAATCATTTATATTTAGTAAGGGCATCAAATTTTTTATTTTATTTTTATTTTATGGGAGTAAGGGTAGATATGGAGTATTGAGATTTGAGACTTAGATATATTAACAACTAGTGTTGTGGCCCGTTGGCCGGTTTGTGGTCATTTGGGTATTTTTTTTAGTTAAATGTAGGTGGTTTGATTTTTAGTATTATGTTCTGGTGGTACAAAATAGTACTTTGATAGTTTATGTTTTTAGTGCCCGTTAACTTTATAATTTTATTGAATTTGTATTTCATTTTATACTTAACTATAAGAAGTTTAAGTTAGACAACGAATGGAATGAAAAACTATCTGGAATTTATATTCATGCCTTGAGATATTAAACATCACTGAATAAAAAAAAATCAACAAATTTTTTCTTCTTCGTTATATGTGAATAATTACCTTGCAAATGATGCTTTGAAAATTTTATTACTATTTCAATTTAAATATAGTTGATTGTCATCTATTGAATTAAAAAGTAAATAATGTACATAATATTACCATAGATGTATTACATTTAAACAGTTTAAAGATACAAAAATTCGAGGAGAAAAAAATATGATATGGAAATAGATGATTTGGACAATTATGTAAAGCAAATCCAAAAATATTAGTATAGATGTATTAAATTTATATTTTTGAAGGAGACAAAAATGAAAAATATTAGCAAAAGAATATTTTGACTTGAAATTTCCCTTTTAAGTTATTCAATCATCTGAAATTTAGTTATCATAATTCAAACTTAACCTTTAACAATATGCTCATATTTTTAAATATTTTATTGACCATGTCCTATATTTTCAAAAGCGGAGCGGTTGTCGGATGAAAAATTTCAATGACTCATGATTAATGGTTTATCATTATACAACTATTTTTTAATCGTTAATGGAACTATTCAGATGTAAATAACAACGTAGTTAGGTTGAAGAAGCATTTAAGTTATTCCATTGGACCATATTTTACGTTTAATAATTTTCTAATAAAAACTATCTCGACTCTAAGCAATTACATAGAGTAAAAAAATTGATTTTTTTGTTTGATCTAATTCGACACAAATATCGAGTTGGTACGATATGGATCGAATTATTGTTTAACCTACGACTAAACATGCGATCTTACCTTTCAAAATTGAATGTAAAAATTAGACATGCTAATTTGAAAATTAAAAGAATTTAAAATAATATAAATTGATTGTATTTTGCCAAGATTTCCCGTCTTTCTTCCACTTCATGTTTGCCGAAATCACTGTGAAATTAAGATTCTAAAACTTTTGAAGGTTGATGCTTGGTTTATCTGTTTAACGTAAAACCCTAATGCGAAAAAACCTATTCCGAAGGAACCTCTTCCCAAACATCCACGCCACAACGATATATCATCTTTATCATCTCAAAATCCAATTCGCAAGCATTATCTCATTTAGGAGTTAAACAACTTTAGATAGCCTCTGTTTTTTCCTTAACCACGCAAAATAAATCTACACAGAGCAAAATTCAAATAATTATTATGTAGCATTTACCTTAAAACAAATCTTCATTTTCTTTAATCCTAATCGCATTTACTAAAAAGAAAACCAAAAGTCCAATAATAATGAGTGACCCTTGAGTGTTTGAAAAATTGTCAAAGTTGCCCTTCCACCAAATAAGGAGAACCAATCAAAGTGCAAGGTGGCAACAATGACATAGAGTGAAGTGCATAATATATTGTGTAAATTCAAAGATTTAAACTCTGTTGAGTTATTGATTTTTTTTAAATGTACTATTTGGTAATTATTATTGTTAACATTTAATGAAAAAATAGAAATTTTTATTTTTTTGTCAAATACATATTTAACTTAAAAAAATCAAACTGGTTCAGTAAATATTGATAATTTATTGATAATGGTATTTCAGTAGATAAGTAAAAAAAAGGATAAAGTAGGAGGACAAAAGTCTTACAAAACAAAATATATAATCTCTCTTGTTGTGATATATTTGGTTCTTTGCCATTTTGAGTCAAAATGTTGCATTATTTTAGAATGTGACATTTCATGTGGCATTTCAATTTATATGATAATTAAATTTTAATTATCTTGTTTGGATTAACCATTTTCGTATTATAATATGTCATCATTCAAGTGGAAAGAGACCCCACCAGATGAGTTTTTTCAATTAACTAGGCGGCGGGGGTGGTATTTCAAGTAACTCATAATGAGTTATTTCAATGGTTTCTTGGGCATAATACCACAACTCATTTTATTTTTGTCAAACGAGTTATTTTGACTCAAATAACTCAAGGGTCGTTTGGATGGAGTATTTGTATGAATTATTTGGGTTCAAATAACTGACAATGAGTTATTTGGACGCAAATAACTCGTTTGCCAGCGTTTTACTGAAATGAGTTATTTGGACAGTGAATTATTTACAAATAACTCAAAACGAGTTATTTGAAATAACTTAAACCCATGTGTCATTTTGAAATAACTCGTTTTATCACTCTGCTTTTACCAAATACCACATGTCAAATACCACATTTGCATGGTTCAACCAAACGAGATACTTTATTTCAATTACCACTGAAATAACATTGAAATACCACATAAACAATAAATGAGTTATTTGACTCTACAAATACCACATTGACAATTAACCCATCCAAACGACCTCTCAGAATGAACTATTTGCACCAAAATACCTCACTGAAATGTTGCGTCCAAACGACCCATCATTTTGAAATCTCGTTTGGATGCATCATTTCGGTTATGTGCTATTTTGTATCAAAATGTTGCATTATTTTGCCATCTGGCATTTCATGCGGTATTTCAACTTGAAATGTGGTAACAGAATCTAATTGTCTTGTTTGGATAGAATATTCACATATTATGGTATTTCACCACTTAAAGAAGGAAAGAGTTAATAAAAATTGTCTAGAAGGTGAAGAGGTATTTCAATTGACTCATTATGCATACTTTCATATAACTCATCCAAATGTTGCATCAAAATGACCTTTCAAACTAAAATCCACGACATAAAAAGCAGAAAAACATAAACTTGTACTAAATATATGGATATAGTGAATCCATGAAACGATTTTTTTCTCCAACCACCCTTTATCACGATGCATCAAAGGGAAAATATAGTAAAACAATATCTAAAATAATTTACAGTCTCTCATGATGGTTACAAGTATTTTCTTACGATTATTAATGATTTTAGTAGAGCTACATGGTCATTTCTTATGAGAAACAAGTCTGAGGCAAGAGATTTGTTGAAATATTTTCATACCATGGATGGAACTCAGTTTGATAGGAAAATCATGATTGTTCAATTTGATTAGGGCAAGAGTTTAACATGGATAATTTTATCAAATGCATGGGATTGTGCGTGAAATGAGTTGTGCAAGAAATGCACAACAAAATGAAAGAGTAGAACGCAAACAATAGCATTGTTGAATGTTGCAAGAGCCCTGAAATTCTCTAAAATTGCGTTTCCTTTCGAGGAAGCTGAGAGTAGTTCTATTATGAAGTTCAGAAATGAAAATCATGTGGATAATTTTACCCATCCATCTTCTTTCATAACACAATGTCCATGAGACAACAAACTCATACTATTACCCTCAAGACTCAGATGCACCTCTCTTTCACCTAATAAATCAACACCTTTCAGTCCTACACCACAAACCTCTTCTTCTCTGGCATCTTCTTCAAGGTAGGTCACTAAATCACCAGCCTCACTGTCACTGTCAGGATTCCTGAATACATGCTTACTTAAAATATTTCCATACAACCTTCATGGCTACCTCCACATATGAAAATTATGACTACAAACTTCTTTATCATCTATTACACAACCCTGATTACTACATCTTTCCACAAACCACCAACATTATACACTTTCTATTCTCTTTTCCCTGATCCTAAGACCTACTCTCGGGTTGTCACATGACATTGTTGACCGACCTCCTAATAAAAGAGTTGTGGGATATAAGTGGATTATTAATTCAACAACATGACAAGAATTTGTCTATGAAATTACTAGTAAGATAAGTAGATGATCTATTATTAGTATGGATGGTTCATTTTTTTCAAGTACCATATTTTATATGCTTGGTGTTTTATTCCTTAAATTTTAAACTTAATTTGACGTTTGCTTTGATGAATCTGTTTATGGTGATTCCTTAGGGGTCTCTTTGTGAAATTATATATCTGTTGAAAGTTACACCATTGTTGATTGTGAGTGATTGCTAAGGAACTTTTCATAAAAACTTGGGTACAATTAGATTGGTTAAAGTGCTTGCTAATTTGGAACATGGAATTGACACGACACATTTAGTCAGTTGTAATACCAAGTAAACATGATAGTGGCTAAATTGTTCTTAGTTGCCCCATAAGTTCATACAAATGAACTTAAAGGGTAACTCTGGTATATGTGACAATTGAATAGTTAAACGAGATAGAGTTTTACATATATATGTATGTGGAGACTGGAGAGCAAATAATTAATGGCCATCTAAGGTGAAATTTGAGTTCATTTACTTTCTTGGTGAGAGTTAGCATTGACAAATTCTTCTTTGTACCAATGTTTTATATAGTCATTTACTGAAACTCTTCGATGATGTCAACAACAAGATTTTTTGACAAATTGCCTGCAACTGCAACTCGAGTTCAACTTTGGAGCGATTCTACTATTCTGCTTGCCCTATTTGCATCTCCAACCACACTAGAATTCATCATCAGCCAACTCTCTATCATTTTGAAGAGTTCTGCCTGGTTGAATACTTTTAGGATGTTTGTTTCCCACATTGTGTTGAACCCTTAAGTTGATGTTGTTAAGTGTATCTATTTAAACACAACAAATTTAGTTATATGTACACTACCACATCAAATATTCATGTTAAACTTAGATTTAGAGCAATGAATGCAAACTTCAATGAACACTAATAAGAAAACGTTTTCTGTGCATCTGGTCGCATAAATTGCAT